GGTCCCAGAATGGCTCCAACTATATGGGTTTCTGGGGCACCCATCAGAGAGCCGGGAGCCAGGTCTGTGAGCAGCTCCAGCCCAGAGAGAGGGGAGGGAGGGCTCCAGGGAACGCCAGGCCTAGGACCTGGCACAGCTCAAATGCATGGTCAACAGTCTCCCTAGCACTGCAGGCACTGGCTGTGCATCCAAAAAGGTCCCTCCAACCCCAGAAAACAGTCTTCCCAAGAGGCCCCCATGCCCAGAGCCAATCTCAGCACCTTGGACCTGGCCGCAGCAAAGGTCAGGGAGATGCCCTGGGCATCTGACCTTTGCCACTCCTCCCCCAGCTCTGACCACGAGGAAATGGTGCCGTGGCAGTGGGGGGAAGCAGAGGTTCAATGGTGAGGAGGTATCCTCAGGCGACTCTGGGGATTTCTCATCAGCTCAGGCTCAGGAAAGGGGCACAAGTATGAAGGTGGGGAAGATGGAGGTGGAACAATGGGCCTGAACTGGGAATGAGTAGCCGGGGGAAATAAGCCTGATCTCGTAAGCCTTGCCTGCAGCCTAATCTTCACCTCTCCTGCTGCACCATTGGTCTGTTCCCTGGCAGACTTGGGTCTTCATGGTCTTCTAAGCCCGAGGCTCAAAGATGACGTTGACACTAGCTCCTCCGCAGCCTTCCCTCCTAGGGGCACATTGGCCTGGTGCCTGACTGGGCTTCACTGAGGACTCCAGGTCAGCCCTATCCCTCTCCGGGCCCCATTTCTCAATGCTACAGCCCTATCTCTCCATTATGAGAGTATAAGTGCTTTGAGACCTTCAAAGGAACAGTCTGGGTTCTCACAGAGCTTCTGATAGCCAAGGGCAGGAGGGAGATAGCCTCTCTCATTTACTCTCACCCACCCCCCTTAGCCCACCTCCCAGCCCAGGGTTAGGGTGGGGGAGGGAGAGGCTGGATGGAGGCCAGACTGGCAGAGACAGGGGCTTTGTCCCAGCTGGTTTCTGAGCCAGGAGATCCGGTGGGAAAGCCTGTGCCAGACAGAAAGGAAAGACTGGGAGGAAGAAAAGAGAAGGCAGCCAAGGAGGGGGCGGAAGATGCTGGGGAGTAAAGAGAAGGGTTTCCTTCTACTTTATGGTGGGGTGGAGGGAGGTCAAGGAGGGGTTGCAGTGGGGAGAAGTTGTACATTGCCTGGGTTCAGTCTAGGAGGCCCTCCTGGGGGAGGCCAGGTGGCTATGGTACTCAGGGAGGAAGGGACAAGGAGGGAAGTTGGAGGGGTACAGTGGGAGGAGAAGACTCTGGGTTCAAAGAAGGAGTCTGGCACTGGGAGAGGCAGAGGGAACTCTAAACACTTACAGGCATATAGTACCCACCGTTCACGCTATATGCTATGTGTGTTTATTGAGCCCCTACTGTGTGCTGGATTCTGGGTATTTGTACAGGATTTTTTAAAAAAATATATTTTATTGATTTTTTTACAGAGAGGAAGGGAGAGGGATAGAGAGTTAGAAACATCGATGAGAGAGAAACATCGACCAGCTGCCTCCTGCATACCCCCTACTGGGGATGTGCCTGCAACTAAGGTACATGCCCTTGACTGGAATCAAACCTGGGACCCCTCAGTCCGCAGGCCGACGCTCTATCCACTGAGCCAAACCACTCAGGGCTGTACAGGATTTTTTTTTAGAATATAAAGCATTCTCAAAGCACACAGCCTCATCACAAACTGTGAGGTGGTAGTAATGGTGCTCTTTTACAAGAAAACAAAAGCCCAGAGAGGGTAAGGAACTTGCCTTAAGTCATACAGTGAGTTCACTAGCACCAAGGTAGTGGCTCTGAAGAATACCTTCATGGGGAGACAGGGATCAGAAGCAGAGTTAATGGGGAGCAGAGGCAGTGGGCTTCTGGGGCCAGGTGTGAGTCCATGTGGATGTGTTAGGGAGCCGTGGTAAGTCCATCCTGAGGTCTACCCTATCTTTCTTTTTTAAAAATATATTTTTATTGATTTCAGAGAGGAAGGGAGAGGGAGAGAGATAGAAACATCAATGATGAGAGAGAATCATTTGTTGGCTGCCTCCTGCACGCCCCCTACTGGGGACTGAGTCCGGAACCCAGGCATGTGCCCTTGACCAGAATTGAACCCGGGACCCCTCAGTCTGCAGGCCCACGCTCTATCCACTGAGCCAAACCAGCTAGGGCTAACCCTATCTTTCTTCCTCAAGTCCCCCCGTCAGTCTGCAGCATGGCCCCACGGTTCCTGTCCCTGCTGGCAGCCCTGACCCTGGCTGGGGTCCCTGAGGCCTTCACTGATGCTCTGGAAAGGGACAGCTCAGGTAAGCAACCCGCTTGGGGTCACTTTCTCTGTCTCCTGCACCTTCCCTATGGCAGGGAATGGCCTCTGGTTCGGCCCTAACCAACCTCTTCCAGCTTGGGGGACTCAGGGAGGAGGAGATAGACTTTGGAGGACTGTGGGGAAAGGTCTGGGCTGGGACCCTTTGAAAAAAGAGATGAGGTGTGGGTCCCTGGTCGGGTGTGGAAACTTGAGGTAGGGCTGGGGAGGGGCACCAGGTGCAATGTTGCCAGCCTCTAGGATGGAGGGGGGGACCCTTGGGACCAGGTGGGGGGCTGGGAGGCAGAACAGAGGTGGAGCTGGGAGAGATTCTGGACAGAAGTTTTGAGCCCTGGACTGTAGGACCCAGGGGGCGGGGCTAGAAGACTGTGGGTGGGGCCCACAAATCCTGGGGCGGTACTCTGGGGGCGGATTGACTCGGAGACTTTGGGGACCGGTCTGGGGATCAAGAAGTGGGTTTGCAGGACCCTGGGGATGGGGGCCCAGGTTGCTGGGGACGGTTTAGGAAAACCCAAAGGCGAGGCCGGGGAGTCCTGGGGTGGGGCG